TCGTACCACAGGACTAAGGGCACTGAATAGGCCAGGGCGCCCCGGGCCGGCGGGACCGCTAAGGCGCTGCCCCTGCCCCTGCCCGCGGCGGGGCGCCGGACGCCCCCGGGCAGCCCCAGCCGGCGCCGCGGCCCCGGAGTCCGCCGGTGTGTGCCACGGCCGCGGTGCCCGGGCGATTGGGCGGCCGCCGGAGGGGCCCCTGGAAGTGCGCTTTTCTCCCGTTCGTGCATGCGTAGGCCGTCTGGCGCTGCCGAGGCCAGTGCGTGGACAGGGCAGGGCGGTTTCTCCGGGCGAGGGTTTCCCCTGCGCCCCGGTTGCTCTGGAAGCCCTCGTTTTTCTTTCTCTCAGTCCTCCGTGCTGGCAAAATTAGCAGGGTATAGGACGATGGACGGAGGTGGAAGCAGCCAGGATGCCAGTGGGTGAAAACGAAAGTTTGGAAGAAAAATGTTGCAGCGTCAGTCCTTGGCATACGTACCACAGGACTAAGGGCACTGAATAAACAGAATAGGGGAGGAGAGCTGGGTCATCTTCAAAGAGCTTTTTGAAGAAAACGAATGAGCAGCAAATGAGGCATAAAAGCGTTGGTTGCCACTGTTTCAGATTCCAGTGGTGTATGTACCGATACCCGCAATTTGTTGAGGTTTATTGGAGTCCAGAATTTGTGTTCTCTTACAGTCAGGTCGAGATCTGCAACAGTACCAGAGTCAAGCCAAGCAATTGTTCCGAAAGCTCAATGAACACTCTCCTACGAGGTGCACTTTAGAAGCTGGACCCATGACTTTTCAGTAAGTACAGCTTGGATTGCAAAGGCCCAAGCTGGGGGCGGGGGTGAGGTTGAAGGTCATGTGCTTTAGAAAAAAGCATGTGTCTAGAAGCCAGTTGCCTGGAGATGGAGTAGGCCAGGGAATACGGACTGGAAAAGCAAATGGAAGGAGCCACGTATTAAATCTTGAAAGAGAAACTGCTACTTTGCTGCTCTGGACACGCACACACCAGCCATCTCCCTGCCCAACCCTTTTAAAAATGCTTTGCCTGCAGAAGAGCCCTGAAGCCCCTGAAAGCCTGCATGCATTTTGCGATATTTTAGTTGGCCTAATAAAGCTATTGCACTAATGAGGATTTTGTCAGATATGTGACAAATATTTGTAACTGTCAGATATGTGAAAGTTGACATGTTTCCTTTTGTTTTTAGAATAGTTTGTGTATAGTTCCTTTCCTTGATTTAAGTCTTTGGTTTGTCAGTCTCCACTGGCCCTATCTAGGCATTCACCCTCCCCATATGAAAGCCGAAACTGGAATGTTCCTTGTATCCCTGACCTTCTGAAACGCCTGTGCACAAATCTAATGTAACAGCACTACCTTTTCTCTCCCTGCTGAATATTCTGTTGTCACTTCTGGTTTATACTCAAGACAGTAAAGTGCTGGCAGCCCAAAGTCCTTTCTGCGGTGTTGCAAGTCCTTACATATTTAAACTGGATGGGAAATCCTTCCTAATGGCAGAGAACATGGAAGTTTCTTACGGAGCTCCCAACATGTATTGCTATTGGCAATGCTTTGGGAAGAGGATATGGAGACAAGTAGAATCATTGCCTTTTTATTGCAAAGGCCACCCAGAGAGTATGATGCTAATGAACAGCGTTTATACAAATTTAATTAGTAAATAAATTGCGTGGGTTCATGTCTGTGTGCTTGGCAGACACTGGGAGCCTCCAGCCTCGTCGGTCAGCTTGGGGAGCGATCGATGCTTTTTTAGCACCTGACCTAAATTAGAGCACTGGCTGTTGAAAAGGGAGGAACTGCTCTCCTTGGGGAACGTGGAACTGCAGGTTGTCCATGTAAGGACAAGGGTTGGCTCCCTGCCAGCCTAACATTTGATCTGCTGCATTTTCTTTCACAGTTACATTATCGAAAGAGGCGTGTGCTACCTGGTCTTGTGTGAAGCTTCCTTCCCCAAAAAGCTTGCCTTTGCGTACCTAGAAGATTTATATGCAGAATTTGATGAACAGCATGGAAAGAAGGTGTCAACGGTGTCCAGACCATACTCTTTCATCGAGTTTGGTGAGCTGCTTTCCCCCAGTGAGGGCCTGCCCAGATAGTCCCTGAAGAACGTGACTGCCTTGGCCATCATCTCCTGCCCTCCCTCCCACCCTCCCAGTTTCTGATGTTCTGAGTAGCTTAAGTGTGTGTGTAGCTTTTACTCTTGTGTATGGGTTCTTTCTTATGCAGCCTTCTGAAAATGACACGCAGCACAGAAGCAACCGTTGCAGGAGACTGCAGAGTTTCAAGAAAATAGGTGCTGTGGTTTGAGGAAGGGGACTCCACAGAAAGTGTCGGGGGTGGGCTGAGTCATTTTCTTCCTCTGTCCTTCCTCCAAGTGTTCTTTTGGACAGTCAGAATGAAAATGGCATGCATCGTTGGACATGCCAGGTTCCCAGAGGAAGGGCTGAGGGGCTGGGGAGCTGTGAGGAAGGAAAACCAGCTTAAGAGCGTTCCGTAGTGAAGCCGAGTTGCAGTGGGAAAATTACCGGCTTGCGATCTGATCCTTGCCCTTCCCTGAAGCACAGGATTGAAGAGCCCCTGGTAAAGCACGTCCCGTGATTAAAAGGTGAAGGTCGCAGTCACTGTACTCTGTTCCCTCCCCTCCCCTAGAGGAAGATTCAGGGAGGCAAACTCGGCACGTGCCGTCTTTCCAGGCTTCTCTGCAAACAAATCTTAATGCCGCCCAAGTCACTTTGCAGAAAGCACCCTTTCCATTAGGCAGCACCAGGAAAAGGCTCAAAAGGGTCCAAGAGGGCTTAGGCATCAGTCAAATCCGGTGCACACGCTTTGTTTTGTGCAATTTCCAGCTTCCGTTTCTCTGAAAAGCTAGTTTGCTCTCAGAACCAGGCCAGTAAATTGGAACAGGCATTACAGTGGGTGGAGAAGCTAAGCGAAACAGGCTCATGAGAGGCCCTGGAAGGGGGGATCCTTTATGAACAAGCACCTCTTATTCCAGACACTTACATCCAGAAAACCAAGAAACTGTACATCGACAGCCGTGCAAGAAGGAACCTTGGCTCCATCAACACAGAGCTGCAGGACGTACAGAGAATTATGGTGGCCAACATCGAGGAAGTCTTGCAACGAGGCGAGGCGCTCTCAGGTACGGGGACCACTGGGGTCGCTGGCCTTTGCCCCTTTCCGAGGACGTTTGCACAGAGACTGCAGGAGACCTGTCAGCCCAGAACAAAGTGGGCGAGTAGTGTTAAACTGCTCATTATAACTCCACCTCTTTTTGGTAATAAGGTGCATGCGCCTCTTCCCAGTCTTTGATGTAAGTCCACTTCTGCCTCTCCACTCACAATTTTTCGATGGAAACCCTCTTCGACATGCCCCAGTTACAGCCAGTAATTCAGACACAAAGGGGTTTGGCAGTGCTGGCACCCCAAATAAGGACTATTCCGGCATCAGTTTTGCCCCGTGTGAGGACTCGTGGGTGCTCCACTTTCCCTAAGCCATCCGCTTAATCTGCCTGTGTGTTTCTGCTGCTTCTAAAACGGTCTGTCCTTTGAGCGCGCCTGCATGCCTCTCTATCAATCAGTCAATCACGGAAGTGTGTGCACTGCTTTCCACAGAGATAGCAAAGCAGTGAACATGAAATAGGGCAGTCCCCAGAGAGCAATTAAGCAAGCAGCACGAAAGTGACTAGCAGTCAACCCACACCCTCTGCTGTGTCCTGCACAGCGCACTCGATTGGGTTGCACCTTAGGGGAAGCCAGTGTGAGATGAGTTTTACGAGGACCTTAGGACAGCAGGGCAGGGTGGTTAACTGACAAAGTCTTCCAGAGAGCCGGTGCTTATAGCAGCAGAGCAAAGCTCAAGCACCCCAAGACGAACCTCAGGGGCATTTGGCTCCCATTGAGGGTCATGGTCAGGATAACGAGGTGGTGGGGCAGATAGAGGAAGCAGAGCTGGGGACCCCATTCTGGCTACACAGGCCTTCCTTACAAAGCCAGCTCAGCAGTCCCCTCCCAGAAATGCCTCTAGAAAAACAGCACAAAGCAATTTGTGGCAGAACGTGTCAACTGGAAGTGAAGGGCTCAGGAGAGAGAGCCATTTCACATGTGGGCAAAACAGAAGCAGCAGCTGATGAGAGTATCAAACTATGACAAAAGTCTGTAAGCCCAGATCTGCAGTCCGGGAAGTAGGAATGTGTGTTATTTCAGATGTTTAACACCTTTCTGTGTTCTATTTTTTGAAACAGCTTTGGATTCCAAGGCAAACAACCTGTCTAGTCTGTCCAAGAAATACCGCCAGGATGCAAAGTATCTGAACATGCGCTCCACCTACGCCAAGCTTGCGGCCGTCGCCGTCTTTTTCATCATGTTGATTGTCTACGTGCGGTTCTGGTGGCTTTGAGGGGTTTCCGGGGGGTCCGAGAGGTGACTCGTGGCGCCGCGAGTGTGTAGAAATGAGATGCCAAGATCGCGGGGGGTATACATTAGAGTCCCTGTAGGATGTCTGAGTGAAACGTAATTCCCAAATGTTAGAGCTTACTGGCAACCCTGGATTTCCTTTTCTAGCAACCGCACACTTGTAAGATGTGATATTGTCTATCCCAGCAGCAGTGGTGCTGGGGTGTTCTGAGCGGGCCGATCCGCTCATTTCAAAGCTGCTCGGCCCTGCTGGCTTTTTCTCCTTGTAAATATGCCTGGACCTTGCTCAAGGGGACTTTAATGAACTTTGCTGGTAGTGGTGACATTTCCTTATTAAGAGTTTGGCTCTTCTCGAACAGAGATCCCTGTTTAAAAATTGTGACTTTATTATACATATTTTTCTGTTTGTCCAGTGCTGATTTTATATTGTTCAAAATCTTGACTCCTTTCACCATTAATCTAGTGAGTAAATTCTGCTCCAGCTGTTCTCTCCCGTTGCTAAGTGAGCCAGAAAGATAATATTGGAGAATTAAACAACTAGTCTGTAATCCAGTTTGATTTCAGAAAAATCCATGTTTTAAAGCTTTCCTTGAATGTAGCAATCACAGCCCATGTTGGCTATGTTTGAACATGAGTGTTTCGTTAAAAAGGCGCACTGTGAATGAACCACAGCAGTCGTGCGCTCGCACACTCCCCTTTTCCTTCTCTTCCTTCTGTGAAACTGGGAGAATGTGCTTGGAAGCTCTTATTGCTGGTTTTGTTTGATTATGACTTGTTCTGTCATCGGGTGATAAATTAGTTAATCCCAACTATAGTTGCCATCTGACAAGCCAAGTTAAACCATAGTTACTGAAGCTGGATTGTTTAAAATAATCACAGTTAACTATGGTTTGCCAGCCCTGGCCCCAGGGTTAGCAAGGTTCCTTTAAGCCACACAGCACTGTGGCTTATTCTGATGCGCCAACAGCCTCTCACTACATATTTTATATGGCGTTACAGGTGGTCCCTTCCAGATGGGGATTCCTTGCTGAGCCGCTGCACTATAAGCCAACCGGCCGTCTAAATCTCCTTGCTCACAAAAAGACTGAAAAAGAGCAGGCCTCTTCCCAAGCGCTTTACCAGCCTGTGTTTTGAAAAATTAATCTCCTCTGTCAATGCCCTGTTTCCCAGGTCTTGGTCTGTTTTCTTCCACTGTATCGCAAAAGATAAATTTATTGTTAGAAGCTGGAAATCGTCCACATCGAAACTTTGTACGGTATCTACGTCTGTTTTGGAATTTGCAGGCTCTCAAGCAAATTCTGCTGAGTGGTTCTGTAGAAATGCATGTTTTGTGTATGCCCCAAATAGGAAAATGAGGCAACTAACCTACTTTTAAATACAGACATGGAAACAGAGCGAGTCAGAATGGATCTCCCGGGCCATCTAGTCTGACCCCCGGCTCTGCTCACGACGTGCCCACCATGTACATGTCCAGCCTACTGTCTGAGTATTACTGTCCTGCCAAGGCCTTTAATGACGGAAGCTCACTTTTTCGGTAATTAATCTGCCCCTGCATGGATCTGGTGTTCTGCTGCTGACAACTTGCTTCTCAATTCTCCCTAACAATGAGCAGCTAAACATGCAGCTAAGGTGTGCTTGAGGGGGCGCAGCGAGGCCACCGGTCACGCGTCGATTCTGGCGAGCCCAGAGAAAATCTCCCCGTCGGCCAGCAGCTCTTCAGCTCATGAGCGACACCACCCAAAAGCGAGCAGCGAAATGTACCTGGTGAAGCGCATTAACCTCGCGTCCCCCGCTCACCTTGTCCCACCCGTACTCTGCTGAAGCTGCCATCTGTGTGTGCGCTTCCTTTAAGGGACCAGTGTGGACCCTCAGGGCTGGGGCTGCTTGACCCGACCCTAAGCCTGCCTCGCCTCACCCCATCTTTCTTGATAGCGCTAGCCTGGCTCCCTGTATGTTTTTCTTTGATTTGCATTTCCCCTCAACTATGTTTTACTTACCCTTATGTCCCAGCAGCAAGCATTTAGCTTTTTTTATTAGATTTATATCCCGCTTTTTATACACCAGATTCAAAGCGGTTCAACATCATCCTCCTCTCACTGTTACCCCCCAACAACAACCCTGTGAGGTAGGTGGGACCGAGAGTCCACGACTGGCCCAACATTTCCCAGCTGGTTCCATGACTGATCGGGGACTAGAACCCGGATCGCCCAAGTCCCAGCCCTGCGGTGGCTTGTTCTGCTAGCGATCTAAGCGAAGTGTGGACCTTTAGCTGGTCCCTGGAATGAAGGCGCTACGAAGGAGGTGAAACTCCCTCTCTGGATGTGATTCCCATTTCGGCATCTCTGGAGATAAAAGCTGAAGCCGCCTCGCTGTAGCTCTGGCCTGTATAGAAATGCTCGGCGGCCCTCGTACGCCAGGGCAGGCACCGCAAACGAGCTGGCCCAGAGGTTACTTGCAACCCTGTGGTCACGATTCCAAGGAACTGTTCCCGCATTCGGCATAAGATGGCCCGTAACATATTTCTAGTCTACCTGCGAAGACTTGTTGGTTATTCCTGGGTTGCGGACCAGAGGAAACAAGCTGGCTGCTTTGGTAGCGCTGCCTAGTGGGAGCCCATCCTCCAGCCACCATCGCTGTGTGGAAAGGGGTCTTCCAGCCAGGCCTTCTCAGCAAGGGATGGGAGAACGTGGCAAACCTCGGTGGATTTCGTTCCAGGAGGCCATAGGACCGTACCATAAAAAGTTTATATATGTACACCCACACACACACATATGCACAACATTAATTTAATTTCTATGCTACCCAGCAGCTGGAGCTCTGGGTGGTTCACAAAGCAGGTTACAAAAAAGGACATCGTATAAAAAAAAATTAAAACATCATTAAAAGTTTACAATGCAAAATTTTAAGCCACATATTAAATGGGCTTTTATATATATAAATGTTTCTTTTTATATCTAATAACATAATATTTTATATATAATAAAAGAAGAACATCGCTTATTAAGTAGTAAAGGTGGAATCGAGTTGAATTTCATTGTAGCGATCTAAAACTTTACGCATCTATTTTGAAGAGGGCTGTGAGACTGGGTGCAGGAAGTGGTTCTCACCATTACTGGTGATTCTCCCCCTCCCAAAAAATGACCCAATTTATCGTACAGCCTTAAAAAGAGATCTCTCTGGTGGTGGCTGGTGGCTCAGGTAAGCCCAGCCTTCCCTGCTTGATTCTTCAGTATCCTAAGTAAGAAACAAAACCAGACATGTTCAAACAGCTGTTTATTCTAGCTGTCCCCCAAATATGAACATATTTTAATAACCAGGTCATGGAGCATTTTCCCATTAAAGCAATAAAGCTTGTAGTGCACTGGAAATGTGCAGACAAATTGATTTATTGAAAGGTAGGTTAGTCAGCCTACCGGAGGAGGATGCAACGGTCCAGTCGCTCCATCAGGAATACCTCCGGCACCTCCACTTTCCCGGTCCAGCGGCTGGGAGAGGTCACCGTGCAGTGGAGCCCCCTCCCCACATCCCCACAGGTCCCACGGAGCTTCGCCCGAGCCACATGCTGCAGGCAGGAGGGTGCTGGGAAGGGGGTTCTCCACATTGCCTCTAAGGCTCGAGAGGAAGCCTTCTCCAGCCACTCGCCTACGCAGTCGATCAAGAGCCTGTCTCCCTGCCTCCCAAAACCCTCCCTCCCCTGGGAAGGGGAACTTTGCTGCCCCAACCATCTTACAGTAAAATAAAGTGGAGCACAGCATGCATTCTATATAATAAAAACCCACTTAAAATCGTGATCTAAATCCTGAAATGCCGGGAAAGTAAAAAGGCGTTGGCTTGGCACTGAAAAGGCCAACATATGTTTTACTCCTAGGATGCTTTTCTTTGCTGGGAACTGAAAAAAGCCTTATTTCTCACTGCTCACACTTATGCTTTGTGTGAAAGCTCTTATCTTATTTCAGCTGCTGATCGGAGATAAGAGCAGGGGAGAGGAAGCAGGGTCTGAGCAAGAAGCTGCTGGATGACTCGATGACTTTCGTGTCTGAGGCTTATCGTGGTTGCTCATGAGCAGACTCATGCTGCGGTTTGTCCTGAGCTCGTGTTGATTTCTGAGCAGATGTACCGAAACTTCGTATTTGACGCATGGTTTGGAAGTGCCTGCAAGAATTTCAGGCCTCTTCTGAGTAGGCTGAACCAGTGAGAAGGGCATTCTGGCCCTTCCTGCTTTGCTTCTGGCCCTGCCACTGATGAAATGCCATCCCAGGACCCTTGCCAGATTGGACTTCAGCCCCTGAACGGAAAAAAAGGTCCTCCACCCCGGATGGGGGTTTTTCCCCACATCTTCTGAGTATGAAAATAGTGGGGCAGAGCGTCTCCCTCCCCATGCAAGGGGCGGCCGGGAGAGAAGAGAGTCATTCAATCCACCTCTCTAGAGCTGCAGGTGGGGCACATGCCCCAGCCTGTTATTTATTTATAAACCACTTCTAGTAGCATTTATTTATTTATTTATTTGGCGACTCTGTATGCCGCCCCATTCGCATTACAATAATTTATTACTTAATTCCTGTGCTGCCCAGTCGCCGAAGCTTTCTGGATTCTCTCTGAAGCATCTACAGTTGGGCACAAATGATAGACGCATAAACCCGTATCTATCTATCTATCTTTGAAAATCAATGTTTTGGCAAGCTATCTTTGCTGCGCTCACATTATCAGTTTTAAAGCAGCAATTCCAGCATCTTTCTCATGCTGCTGCCATGTGATAGGTCTTTAATTTATTTATTTTTGCTTACGTGTATTTATAGGCCGCCTGTACTTGCCGAGGCCTTCCTAGGCAGCTTACAATGCAGGAACTCTAATTTTTCACGGCAGTAGCTGGTGGACTTGGCTGCACAGCCGGGTTTGGGAGTTGCCCACAGAGCCAGCGGGGCTGGCTATACACCCCATATGTTAGTCCTTGAAGAGCATTGTGGTTTTTGGGGATTCTTCATCTAGGCCCTCCACTTTGGAAAAAGAACATGGAGGATGAATTCCACTTGCTGGCAAAGCTTCACGTAAAGTCTGCGCAGGTGAGCTGCAGCAGAAAACGTGTCCCAAGCATGTTTTAACTGAGCTAGTAGTGGTGCCAAGTATTTTAAACCCGGGATTTAATTGTTCTGGGGTGAATCACCTCAGTTATGAAACTGCTTGCCGCTCACTTAATGTGTGAGAATAACAACAAAACTGCTTGCCACCCCGATTTTAAAGCAAACGAGCAAACTTTGCACATGACTACAGGAATAAAAAGGCTTCCCCAGCTCCTCGCCAAGCGGTCTCTCCGGGCGTCCTGGAACAGTGTGTCCCCAAGCATTTTCCTTGGTAGTTTCCTCGCAATACGATGGGAACCAACCCCTCGTGCACCGTCGTTTGTGGACTCTCAAAACCAGACCCTCTTTCTCTCTGTGCTTCTTCACTGGGCATCTGCCAGGGAAAAACTTTTTCCAGTGCCCCGCATAATGTAACATGATCGTTCCATCAAGCCCCCTGGGCTTGTTCGCTCATCTATTTTCATAATGTGGAAATCCGACTTTTTAAATCCAGCTTTAAAAAAAAAGGAACATGCGTGACAGTCGACTTGATGCTGGTCTTGACTTGGCGAAGTGGAATTAATTTGAACGTGCAGGTGAATTCCCACGATCAAAGTATTCGGGGTACGGTGCGCAGGGAATCACTCGTTGGTCCCTCGGGCTTTCCTGCTCCTCCTAGGCCGCGGCTTGTGCCTGGGTGCAAGCAGAAGCGTTATGCTGGGATGAGAAATGTACCAGGTGCCAGCCAGCCTGCAAAGCATTTTAATGCAAAGACAAACGAAAGAGACCTGGGTGCTGGGGACAGCTCAGCCCTAGTCATGTTTACTCAGAAGTAAACCTCACTGAATCCAGCGGTGGATCCTCTGATGCACGCAGCTGCAAAGTGACCTCTTGCGTTCTTTTCCTATAGATTGCAGAAAGGGGGACCTGGCAATGAGCGATTGATTTTTTTAGAATAGCAACAACGAAAAACATAAGCAGACGCTGGAGTGTGTTGGACGGAAGGGTCGAATTTAACCAAAATACAGTTTGTTTTAACTGGGAGGTTTATGTAAAGTTACACGACTGGGAAACCGCGACAAGCTACAAGCGGGTGCAGCATCCAGTCGCTGGACCCGCTTCCGCCTCGTTGCTCCGGCTTTCCTGGGCCTGCAGTTTTCGCCTCAGGGCTTCTCCAAGCGGGGCTGTTCGCGCGCTGTTTTGCTTGCTGCTTCTCTTTTCCTTGCGGGAGAAAAATGCGGGGCTGCTATTTCGAAGACTGGGCGCGCGTTCTTCCGGCAGCCAACGCACGGTGGCGCTGTTGGCACAGCGGCCCTTGTAGCGGGTCTGCGGCTTCTCACGAGCTTTTTGACCCGGGTTGCTGCCCTTTGAATGTCAGCAACTGACTTTGCTCGCACAGAAAACAGCTTTGTAAACACGGCTGGGGGGAGTGGAATTTCCGCAGGCTTCCTTGTGTGCGCGAGCAGAAGAGCGCACTATTTTTATTTTATTTTATTTAAAACTTTTATATGCCGTCCTCTATGCATGGCATCTCAGGACGGCTTACAACATTAAAATCAAAAACGAATAACAATTGATACAAATATAAAGCAATATATAACCAATAAAAATCAATTAAGTCAAGAGCGACTGATTAAAACTATTAAAATACTAATTTTTAAAATAACGCTTAAATAAAAAGGTTTTGACCTGGTGCCGAAACGAATATAGGCTCGGTGCCAGACGAACCTCTCTGTGTATATATCAATGCTTCAGCAAGGAAGCCCTAGTATTAAGAAACGGCCAGAAGTGTTGCCCTTGTAATGGATGTCAGCCCCGCAAGAAAGGCTCGCAGGTCGGCCCGACAGAGCACGGAAGGGGCAAGATCTCTTCGGCTTCGGCCCCCCGAAAGAGATCGCTTCTGGTTCCCAGGCTGGGACGCGGTTCCCCGCGGTCCCAAGCGCCGATCCCGCCCGGGGTTTCGCGCAGCGCAGCAGCAGGCCGGAGAGGAGCCGGGCCGCGGGCGCCTGAGGGAGCCTCTCCGGGGAGCCTTCGCCGACGGGGCGGCGGGACCCCGCGGGGCGCGCAAGGCGCTGCGCGGGGACCGAGCGCGCGGCGCGCAGCGACCCCCCCGCCCGGCTCCCCTCCGCGGCTGCGCGCAGGGCCCGCCCTCCGCTCCGCTCCCTCCCTGCCTGCCCCTCGGGGCGCGGCCGGCGGCGCGGCGCAGCGCAGCG